AAACAAATTGGCTGATATGTTGCAAAAGAAAAAAAAATACTAGAGAGTCTTAAAAGAAAAAGAATCTGAAACAGAAAATTTAGCAAATTCTTCTAAATTCTACACGGCAAGAGTGCCAATGTGATGATGGCCATCTTCAATGATGAGGCTGAAGTTCGTGAAAGGCGAAATGATTTGTTAATGAACACAAAAGTAACAAATAATGAGAAAGGCAATGAACATAACACAGCTAATCAGGTTCACAATCTGCTCTATTCACTACAGAACCAGTAATTACTGAGAACATTTGCCTAAATTTCACTCCATTTCTCATTTATTCAAACCAAGCTGATTTTCTCCCTTGTTTTCTTGGTCATTCAAGATATCAGTTGTTCCATTCACAGCCTCCCTCAGGAACAATAGCACAGAAGATCTAAATCACTGAGCTTTCAAAAGCTGGTTCCCGCTTAGCTCATTGCTTTCACTTTCTCTGCCACTGATCTTGATTCCTTTCTTCACTTACTAGGTTGGAACTAGTCAGCCTTTCCTAGCTTTTTTAAATTACTGGTTAAAATAGCGAGATCAGTTTTAAATATACAAAGGGAAAGTTTCACTTCCCTTGAGAGAAGAATTCATTTGCAATCTTTCATTAAAAACTATGTATTCTGATGGCCTAGTAGTAAGGAATCGCACTACCAGTCCAAAGGCACAATTCTAATCCACCAGTTGCTCCATAGCAGAAGGAAAGGCAATATCCTCTTGTGAGATTTACAGCCTCCGGAAACATGCTGGAGGGTCGGCTATGATTTAGTTGTGGCTTGACGGTATATAACAATAACAATGATTTCTCAAGAACTATAAATAGGGGGTTCTGGTGACCTAGTGGATAGGAGGATCTATGCTAAATCCAAAGGAGATGTTTTGAATTTACCAGCTGCTCCAAGGAAGAAAGATAAGCAATCATCTCCCATGCAATTTACAGCATCTGAAAACCCTCTGGAAGTTCAGCTATGAATGAGTTCTGAATTGATGGCAATGAGGTGAGTTGATGTTTATAACTAGTAATCAATTATAAGCAATACAAATAAGATCCCTGATTGATTGCATAGAGTGTATACTCGATGGAAAGAGGGCAAATCACTCAAATAAACGTAAAATTTTAACTGTGGCAATTGAAATAATGAAAGCACCCAGTACTCTGTAAGTGTCTAAAATAAAGGAAGCTTTGACATTGTCAGGAGGGTTAAGGAAGGAATCCCTGTAAACTTGGATTTGGAACCTAAAAGAGAGTTGGCTACATGATGGAAAGGAAGTGATTATCCTGTATAAGGATTCAGCAGTAAATGAAAGTATGTTCAGTACAGCGAAAGAAAGAAAGAAAAAAGAGAAAGAGAGAAAGAAATAAAGAAAGGGAGGGAGGGAGGGAGAGAAGGGGGGGAGGGAAGAGGGGAGGAAGGAAGGAAAACGAGTATTCCTAGACGATAAGGGCCATTATTTGAAGTGTCTTATCTCTATTCTGAAATAAGTTATCTAAAAGTTTAAAGCAGGAGAGGTGGGAAATTATGCAAACTATAAAAAGATCTGGCTACACAGCAAATAAGAGATCAAAAATGAGGTTGAGTAGATAAAAGCCAACTAGTTAAGACACTGCTGGGAGTGGGAAGGGAAGACACCTCTGGAGTAGTTAAAGCAAAAAAAGCATAGAAATTATAAAATAGGCAAAGGATATGAACATAAGCTTCAAGAAAGAGGACAGTCATTCAGTGAATAAACAAATGAAAAGATGGTCATAATCACTAACCATTAATATTGTGCAGTCAGGAAATAGGGAGACACATTGCACTGGGAAAATCTGCAGTTGGGGACATTTCCAAATTATTGAGGAGTCCTCAGTTTGAGGATTAAGGTGCATCCAATTCAGGCCATAGTCTTTCCAATCACTAGCTATGCATCTGAGACCTGGACAACGAGTAAGGATGATGGAAAAAGAATTGACACCTTTGAGCTGTGGTGTTGGAGAAGAACACTGAACATCCTATGGATGGCCAAGAGAATGAACAAATATGTCTTGGAGAGAGTGCATCCAGAGTGCTCCTTGGAGGCAAGAATGATGAGGCTTCACCTCACATACTTTGGACATGTTACTAGGAGGTGTTATTCCTTGGAGCGAGACAAGATGTTGGGAAGGGTGGAGGGTCAGAGAAAGAGAGAAAGACCCTCAACCAGGTGGACTGACATGGTAACTGCTGCAATTAGCCCGAGTGTGTCAGGAAATGTGAGGATGGCACAGGAGAGGACTGGATTCAGATCTTAGGGTCGCTTTGAGTCATACTTGATGGCACCTAACAACAACAACAAACCATTGAATCAGCTTAGACATATAATGATGCTACACGCAATAATGTTCACTGTTGACCCTGTGGTATTGGCCCTTTGTTTTCTTGATGTTGAGATATAAGCCATACTGAAGGCTGTAGTCCTTGATTTTCTGTAGCAAGTGTTTCATATCCTTCTCACTTTCAGCAAGCAAACTTACATTATCTGCTAAAGCATGTTGTTGATAGTCTTCCTCCAACCCTGAAGCCATTCTTTTTCATAGAGTCTGGTTTCATCACTTACTTGCTCAGCATATAGACTGAATAGGAAAAGAGAAAGGCAGCAACCCTGACACACGTCTTTCCTGATTTTAAACCGTGCAGTGTTCCTTTGTTCCCTTTGGACAACAGCTTCTTGGACTAGATATAGGTTTTGTATGAACACTTATGTTCTAGGATTCCCTTTCTTCTCAATGTCAGCCATAATTTGTTATTATTCAAATGCCTTTGCATAGTCAGTAGAACACAACTAGACATTCTTTTTTTTTTTTGCCTTTAGCCAGGATCCATCTGACATTAGCAATGATATCATTTGTGCTGCAACCTGTTCTAAACCCAGCCTGGAAGTTCTCTGCTGAGGTACTTTCCAGTCATTTTTGGATAATCTTCAGTAGAATCTTGCCTGCATGTGAAATCAATGAAATTGTTCTATAGTGATACTGTTTGATAATTTCCATATTCTATTGGATTACCTTTCTCAGGAATAAGACAAATTTCTTTCAGTCAGTTGACCAGATAGCTGTCCTCCAAATTTCCTGCCACAAACTGAACAGTACATCCAGGGCTGCATTTGTAAGCTTAAACATGTCAGTTGGTACTACATTGATTCCTGGACTCTTTTTTTTTTTTTTCCAGAGCCTTCAGTATGGCTTAAACGTCATCTTTAGTTACCATTGACACCTGTTGATATGGTGCTTCCTGAAATTTCCCAGTGTCAACTAATTGTTTCTGGAACAGAAGTTCTGTGTATTCCTTCCATCTTCTTTTGATGCTCCCTGGATCATTCAAGATTTTACCCATAGCATCTTTCAGTATTGTTACTTGAGGCTTGAATTTGTTTTTCAATTCTTTTAGCTTGAGAAATGCTGAGCAAGTTCTTCTCTTTTTATTTTCTGACTCCAGTCTGAACGTTTCATTGTAATTGTTTTGTTTTATCTCCTTAAGCTGCTTGTTAAAATCCCTTGTTCATCTCTTTTACTTTGGCATCTCTTTCTTTTGTTTTGGTTTCTTGACCATCTAATGTGATTTTCATTCGAGAGATGCAAATAAAAATTACAGTGAGATACCACCTTGCTGCTAATAAAGCACTTACTAAAAATATGTAACAAATGCTGGTGAGTATATGGTAAGACTGGAACTCCTTTTTTATTATTAATTAATTTTAATGAAAGTTTACAGAGATTTTGGATTTCCATTCATTCATTGTTGCACTTTTTTCCTGCCCAATCTTCCCCCCACCCCCAGTTTGCTCTTCTCTTTGAAAAGTAAAAGAAAAATTCTTTCTTTGGTATACAATCCCGCCCTCCAAGTCCACTCCACTATGCAGCCTTCATTCTGGACTCCTGTCATGACAATAATACCTAATCTCATATAAAGACTGGGACTCTTAGGTATTGCTAATGGAGGTGAAAAATGTAACAACTATGATAGAAAAAGGATGCCGCCTCAAAAAAACTAGAAAGAAAACTACCATACTAACCAATAATTCCACTCATAGGTTTACCTATTAAAGAAAGACCTTTTAGAAGTGACATGAGACAACATATGCACACTTATGTTCATAAGAGTATTATTAATAACAAAAATATGAGCACAACTTAAGTGCCCATCAACAATGAATAGATAAGCAAAACTTAACATACTGCAAAATGGATACCTAATAGGTAAAATAAGAAGAACTTGGTGAAAGATTAGCTACATTTTGAAAAGGGAGAGAAAGTTGATCTTTTCATACTACCAGTTTCTTATTTACTTAATTGCATTACCGCTGGTTTCCACTGAGGAGAAATACTGTATATCAGAAATTATGAGTTGATTTTGGGCAAAATGAATTTGAAGTACCTTTTACTAGGAGATGATGTTAGATGGAGATAGAACTGAGAGGAGAAATCAAGATTAGAGATGTAAATATAAAAGTTATCTACCCATAAGTTATTTCACAAGAGACAGAAATGTGAAGGAGATTTATGCAGAGAAAGGTATAGAATACAAAGAAAAATTGTTGTTGTTGCTAAATGCCATCGAGTCATAGGCAACTCATAGCAACCCTATGAATGAAAGTCCTCAACATTTGTGTGTGCGACTTTCATCCTTTCTCCAGGTTCATAGGGTTTCCGGAGGCAAGCTATTTACGGAAGTGGTTTTATTAAACATTGAGGAACTTCAACATTAATTACTGAGTAGAGGATTAAATTATAAACCTGCAAAGGAGAAAAGAATACTATCTAGAGATCCAGGAGAAAAACCAAGGAGGTATTTTGTCATGGAGACAAAAGAAGACAAACAGTTCAATAAAAGGCAATGGTTAATGGTGTCAAATTTGTGCATAAATAGGAATCTTCACTTCCATCCAAATTTTAGCTAATAATCAATTTGGTTCAACTGTGAATTCTTACTTTTTGAATTAAAAAGCATAAGCATACTTACTTAGAGTATTCATCATTAGGCCACTGCTTTCATGGAGTCTATGATGACTGGCATTTGTATCAGGAAGTTTGTACCGTGACATGGTGGACATGGTATGATGTCCTGAGTTAGGGTTCCCTGAATCAGACGGAGATCCATCCTCTTCATTTTCTGAGTCACTCGAACTATCCTCACTACTTGAAGAAGATGAACTTTTGGAATCTGATGAGCTATCATCACAACTGCTCATCTGGTCCATCATTCTAGCTTCTGCTTTCAGTTCTGTAAAGAAATTTTTAAAAGTTAACACACAAAAATGTAAATATATTTTTTTCCTAAGAAACTGTTGATGAAGAATAAGTAAAACATTTTCAGAATTTAATGTGTTTTATTTAAACTCTTCCTGTAACATCAAACCATATTTCAATAATGAGTTTGTAAAATTTCAAAGAATAAAACTGCAGTATCCTTTGGAAATATCTAATTCCATATTAATTTATAGTTTCATCCCTAAGGGAGCTCTGGTGGCCTCATTGTAAGAAGCTGTGCTGTAATCCCGATGGCATTTGTGGTTTGAATTCACCCCAGCTGCTCCGTGGGAGAAGGATGGGCAATCTCCTTCCATGCAATCAACTGCCTCTGAAAACCCACTGGAGTGTCAGCTCTGGACGGGTTGGTTCCTACTTGATGGCACACAACAACAACCTATCCCTTAATATACATACATATACACTCACATATACGCATCGTGTGTGTGTGTGTGTCTCTTGTGTACCGTAGAGTTGCAACCAACCTCTAGCTGACCCTCTGGCAGGTTTTTAGAGGCAGTTAATCACATGGGAGGAGAATGCCCATCCTTTTCCAGCATAATTAAAATGATTCGTAATGGGGAACCCAACATGCCGGGCCCAGCCTCGCCTTGGGCTGCTGCATTGTGTGGGGATCCCTGTCAGTTGTGCCATTATAGCTCTATGTATGATTTTCTTTATGTTTTGCTCCCAGGGTTATCATTTATCTAACATTTTAGATTAAAGATATTTCATATTACTCTATGACATAACTTCTCAAAGACAGTGTTTACTTTTCAGTTAAATTCTTATAAATTATTTATAAGCTCATGCACATTTTGGTTACAGAACATGGCTTACATAGATTCATGTACATATTGGTGTATGTGTCTATATATATGTGGGTGTGTGGATGTGTGGGTGTGTGGATGTGTGTGCATATAAGAAGACTAGTATGTATACTCATATGTAAACTAGTATGAATTTGTTATTATTAGATGCTGTTGAGTTGGATACAATTCATAGCAACCTATAAACAACAGATTTGGACCCTGTCCTGTTCTGTGCCATCCTCACAATCTTTAACACGCTTGAGCCCATTGCTGCAGTCACTGTGTCAATCAACCTGGTGACGGTCTTCTTCTCCTTTATAATCCCTTCACCTCTCCAAGCATGATGTTCTTCTCCAAGGAGTAGCCTCTCCTAGCAACATGTCCAAAGTATTCAGGACAAAGCTTTGTCATCTATGCTTCCACTCTGGCTTCACCTTCTGCAACACACATTTGTTTGTCCTCTTGGCAGTCCATGGGTTATTCATTACTCTCCTCCAAAGGCATCAATCTTTCTTCTGTCATCCTTATTCATTGTCCAGCTCTCAGATGCATAGCAAGTGATTGAAAAGATGATGGTCTGAATCAGGCATACCTTTGTTTTCATAACTTCAAACTATAATCATAGCTTTTCAGCAATTTATATATATTTATAACATATATAAAAATTTATATATATATAAAAACTTTTATGTTGTTATGTGCCATTAAGTAGACTCTGACTCATAGTGACCCTATGTACAACAGCTCTGAACCCTGCTCCATCTAGAGCCTATTTCATTGTCTCTGAAACATCTACCCCCCATTACCGCAGTCATTGAGTCAATCCATTTCATCCAGGGTCTTCCTCTCTTGTGCTATCTCTCCACTTCTCGAAGCATGATGTCCCTCTTTAAGGACTGGTCCCTCCTTGCAACATGTACAATGTATGTCAGATGGAGCTTCAAAATCTTTGTATCCAAGGAGCAGCCGGCTTTCACCCTCTCCAGGATGGAACTGTTTGTTCTCTTAGCAGTCAATACTCTTCTCCAGAACCACAACTCAAAGGCATCAATTCTCCATCTGTCATCCTTAGTCATTGCTCAGTTCTCTGATGCATAGCAAGTAATTGCAAATACTATGGCCTGGATCTAGAGAGAGAGATCAGCTGGCCCAGTGGACAGAAAGCGATGATTTCTGAAAGCCAAAGGTGGGTGACTTTTAATCCACGGCCCTCGGGCCCATCTTTCATTGTTTTTGTTCAGACCGTCCTCTAGGTTGTATAGCCTTGGTGTACAAGTTGCCATACCGTGGTTACTTTTGGTTGCTGTGAGGCTAAACACTGTGACACTGATGTGTCAAATGTGTTAATAGCTGGCTACTCAATGCGGACAGTTAGTGGGGTGGAGCTCCCTGATTAAAACAAGCTTGGAAGGAGGAGTGGCATCCACTTCCATAATAGCTTGCCTCCAGAAACCTGGAGAGAGAATGAAAGGCACCCAAGCGTTGAGGACTCTCCTTCATAGGGTCACTATGAGTTGCCTGCGACTCAATGGCACTTAATAACAACAATGACCTGGATCAGGTGCACCTTAGACTGGCATCACTGCCCAACAGTACTCTAGAGAGGTCCTTGACAGCAGATTTTCCAAATGTAATTAATCTTTTTATTTCCTGGCTACTGGTATCAAGATTTTGGAACCAAGCAAGCTGAAGCTGTTAACAACCTCAAACCCTTCACTGTCTATCATGATGCTGCCAGTTGGCACAGTGGTGAGAATCTTTGTTTTGATGTTGAGCTTCAGTTTATATTAAAGGATGAAGTCCTTGACTTTCTGCAGCAAATGACTCAGGCCCTCCTCAATTTCTGCAAGTAAGGTTGTGTCATCTGCACAAAATAGGTTATTGACGAGTCTTCCTCCAACCCTGATGCCACATTCCTCCTCATAAAGCCCAGCCTCTGGATGATCTGTTCCATATATAAATGGATATGGATGGGTATAGATTGATATAGATTTGTATCCTTGGAGAACAACTTTACTGATATATAGATAGATAGATAGATAGATAGATATAGATATAGATATAGATGCAAATTAGCATTAGCAATCTTCTTTGCTTGACTCTATATATATATATATTTGTCACTAAAAGCGGTTTCTCTGGTTTTGGTTTTATTTCTAGTAGATGTGTAGTGTTATAATCTCTTCTGAGGGTTTGGAATTTTCCCACTTTTTTCCTTAGTACCAAGAATGATTCATGAAGCATTCTTCTTTGAATGAACCATAGAAAATCTAGGTAGACATCTTTCAATTCCACACATATACAAGTTTTGCTAAAGGATACATTTCCAGAATTTTTAAGTCAGGAGATACACACATTTTAAATTTTTTTTTACTGCTATAGGTGCTATAGATTCAATGTTGTATTAATAATGACCTCATAACAGAGTAGAACAGTCCTACGTAAGGAGTATGGGAGACTAAAGAAGAATCAATGCCTTTGAATCATGGTGCTGAAGAGAACTGAATATATCATGGACTGCCAAAACAATAAACACATCTGTCTTGGAGGAAGTATAATCAAGGTGCTCCTTAGAGGCAAAGATGGTGAAACTTCGTCTCCTTTATTTTGAACATATTATGAGGAGAGGCCAGTCCTTGGAGAATGATTTCAGGCTGGAAAACATAGGGTTGGAAAAAAAGAGAGGATCAAGGTGGATTGACACAGCGACACTAACAGTGGGCTCAAGCCTGGCAGAGATCGTGGGGATGATTCAGGATAGGACAGGGTTCAGCACTGTATACGCAGGATTGCTAGGAGTTGTGGTCAACTTGATGGCACCTGACAACACCTAACAATAATCTGTAGAAAAGAGCCCGGCTGGGATAGTGTGTAACACAACAAGGCTGCTAACTGAAAGGTCAGTAGTCTGAATCTCCCAACTGCTCTGTGTGAGAAGGATGATGGCCAGTCTCCCCCCTGTAAAGATTTACAACCTTGGAAACTCAATGGAGTGGCATGAAAAGTTGGAATTGACCTGAAGGAAGTGAGTTAGGTTTAGTTTGGTAATCCTCATGGAATGAGCCATGGGGGGTTAGGGATTAAGTGCTCCACTGCCACCTATGAGGTCAGTGGCTGGAACCCACCAGTGGCAGGAATAAGATGTGGTAGTTTCTTCTGTAAAGAGTACAGACTCAGAAAGCCCTGCAGCCGTTCTACTCTGTCCTCCGTGATGTGTTGAGATGTGCTGTAATCAACTGGATGGCAATGGATATAATCTGTGGAAGTAAATAACTAAGTCTTTTTCCCATGAAGCTGCTGTGCGGGATCAGGCACTGAACCTTTTGACTAACAGCCTAATGCTAAATATTTGCATCATCAGGACTTTCGTTCATAGCATCACTATGAGTCGCATAGAACTTGACGGCACTTAACAACAACAGCATAGAGAGAGATCAGTTGGCCTAGTGGACAGAAAGTGATGCTACCAAGCCAAATGTGGGTGACTCTAATCCACGGCGCTCAGGCTTTTTTTTTAATTGATTTTGATCAAACATTCTTTTAGGTCATATAGCCCTGGTCTGTCCACTTGCTGTACAGAGGTAACTCGTGGTTGCTGTGAAGCTGAACACTCTGACACTGCAGTGTCAAATGCAATAATGGTTATCCATGGTGGACAGTGTTTGGTGGAGCTCCCCGAATAAAGCAAGCTTGGAAGCAGGAGTGGCACCCACTTCCGAAACAGCTTGCCTCCGAAAACCCTATGGACCTGGAGAAAGGATGAAAGTTATACAAGTGTTCAGGTCTTTCATTCTTAGGATTGCTATGAGTCACCTATGACTCACTGACACTTAACAGCAACAGCAAACAATAATACTAAATTTAAATAATTATTAGTAAATAATAACAATAAACTATGCATAGTATCTATATGCTAGGCACTGTTTTTAAGTGCTTTACATATAAAAGTACTCCTAAAAAAGTAGAGATTTCAGGGAGAAAAGTGCAACACTGAATGAATGGAAATCCAAAGTCTCTGTAAATTTTCATTAAAATTATTTTTAAAATGATTTTAAAAACCCTAAAGATTTGTCAATATACACTTTCTTCAATCACACATGAGCATATTTGTTTTGTTTAAATCCTCTTCAGCACTGAAGTTGACACATTTTTTAGCCACTGCCAAATGAAGTCTTTAGGGAGTTGCCCTTTCAACCCAAGAGCCAAGGTTTTCTGGTGGTTCACACTTGCCAGCAGCTCCACAGGAGAAAGGCAGGCAGTTAAAGACCCCATGAGAGAGAGAACTGCTTAAAAGGGATATGTGATTAGGTATTATCATCATGACAGGAGTCAGAACAAAGGCTGCATAGTGGAGTGGACTTGGAGAGAGGGATTGTATCATAATGGAAGAATTTTTCTTTTACTTTTCAAAGAGAAGAATGAACTGGAGGGGAGGGGTGGACAGGGAGAAAAGTGAAACAATGAATGAATGAATGGAAATCCAAACTCGCTGTAAATTTTCATTAAAATGAATAATAATAATACATTTTAAAAAATAAAAACCCCATAAGAAACTGCACTGCAATCTCAAAAGCCCGCAGATCTAATCCACTGGCTGCTTCATAAGAGAAAGATGAGCAATCTCCTCTTGTGTGATTAAACTGCTTCTGAAAACCTGCTGTTCCGACTTGATGCCACACAATAAAAACCCCATAACAACAAGGGTTCTGAGCATAGGTTTTCCTTATCATTTGTAAAGAGACCACTGATCCGCGAGAGATCCAGTACAGTACTGGGCCGAAGAGTAAAAAGATATAATAGGTGACTTATGAACTTTGACAAACAGCAATAGTTATAGAAAGGCTTCAGGTGTTTTGTTCATAGGGTCACTATGAGTCGTGCTCAACTTGATGACAATCAACAACATGTGTAAATTATGAAAGCAAAATGTATACTTTGGTCACTGGGTCTCACTGTTGCTATGATTCCAATAACATTAACACTTTTTCAGAGTTGTGTGTTTGCTTTTTTTTATATAATTACTTTTTAAAAGACTTCATTTTCCTATAAATGCCTTCCCAAGGATTGAACAGCAATTCAGAAGAACTCTCCTGCTTCTGTTTCTGCTTATTGTACCTCCTCATTTCCCTATGGTGCTGGTGAGATCTCAGACATCTACATTTTGTCTACAATCAAGAGAACTCTGATAAAAAGTTGCTGTGAAGACCAAGTAAGAATGGTTAACAATTGCCAAAACTTAAGAAAACTCGAGTTCTACAAACATACATGGTTATTTTCTCTGATGGACAATGAAGAGATGATGTAAGTCTTCTTGTATATATAAATATACTACAAAATTATATACAAGCAGAGAACATAATGCTTGGAGGGGGGGATTATATAGCAATCTCCAGGTTCAAAATGCCTAGTTTACTTACAACCTGCCTTCCCTTCCCCTTGGCCTCCATAACTATGTTAAAATGTTGAGGCACATACCAAAGGGTGCTGCTCTGTGACTCAAATCACAGCATTCTTATTCTTACTATATTCCCCAGTACCTCCCAGATGAAAAGATGGCCAGTCTCCTCTAAGGCCTGAGAAGCCCATGGAAGGTCAGCTATGAGTTGGTTTCAACTGGATACAATGAGTTTCAGTTTTAAGTTCTTATAAAATGTGTTTTTATGTTAAAGACAGTTTCCTTTATCTGGATGCCATTTTTTAAAATGTTCTTATCCTTAGAAAATTAAGCTATATACCATAGACAAGGCAAATATTTGACTGTCAGCTATGAACTGTATATAATTTTTCCTGATTTACATATTACCTACAAATAGACTTGTTGCTGTGTACTGTGGAGTAGGAACAGACACACACACACCCCCATGGGTTTTCAGAGGCAGTTAATCACATGGGAGAAAATTGCCCACCCTTCTGCAGAGCAGCTGGTGGCCTCGAACCATGTGCCTTCAGAAGTGCAGCGTGGCTTCTTGCCACTAGGCCACCAGACAGTGATCTGGAGACTTGCTACAGTTAGTCCCATTGTTAATGAAAATTTTCATTCACTAGCTCTTAAATATTTTACTTTTAATCTAATATTAGTAATCTCTTATCAAGGGATATTGTGCACACTTAGGTTTTACCTCTTTCGATATCATCCATTGGAGACGCTGGGGACATCTTGTCTTTGGGTGAAGAATGTTTCACAAAATTGGGGGGAGTCCTGGCTGAATTCCGCATCTGCTGATGCTGTTGCTCTATTATACGAGACTGAATTTTACTACTTCCTTCAACCCTGCAATTGAAGATATCAAAGGTCAAAAAAGACATGACAGTCATGTATCAACCATTTAATCCTCCAAAATTAGGAAAAGTTATCACTTATTCTTTTCTGTAGAAATCTTTAAAGTGTTTTTAAAAATAAAAACACTTCATTATTTGGCAAATATTTATTAAGTCATGTACTATATATATGACATAAACATTGGGTTAACTGAGGGGTGCAAATATGAGCAAAAGAACCCACAAACCATTGTTCAAATCAAAGACATAGGACAAACAAAAAGTGTTAAAAGTGAAAACAGGAATTTAGAAAAGTGGTACATGTATTTCTTAATTTCTATAATTATAATTGTTGTTTAAATTAAGGAGTCTTGGTGGCACAATGGTTAAACCATTTAACTGTTAACAAAAAGGTCATTCCTAGGGAAAAATAAGTGTCAATCTCTTTTTGTAGAGATTTATACTCGTAAAAACCCTATTAGGACACTCTACTCTGTCATACAGGGTCAAGTAAGTCATAATCAATCAACAGAAGGAGACAGAAATTAAATAATACTCATATTTTTCCACTCATAACTAAGATATTTTGCTTAAGGATATTCATATACATTTCTTTAAAAAAACGAAGAATTGTTGTTGCCATATACCATCAAACTGGAACCTTCTCATAGCTGACCCTCCAGTGAGTTTTCTGAAGCAGTAAATTGAGAGGAGACTGCCCATCTTTTTTTCCTGCAGAGGAGCTTGTGGATTTAAATCGTATGCCTTTGGGTTGGCAGTATAGCTCCCTACCATATATATGGGATTGATCATACTATTATTTTAAATTATGCTTAACCCTTTTTCTCTTATTTTTAGTAACTAATTTCTGTCCTGGTAGCACAGGTTAAGTGCTGGGCTATTAACTCTGCACTGAGTCATCCAGATTTGTGACTTAATCTGCCTATTAAGACTACTTTACTCATTAAATCTCAACTTAAAAAAAATTCATCAAGACCTAAAAAAGGCTACCACACACACACACACACACACACACACACACACACACACGCACACACGCTTCAGGCCTACCTACGAAATGTATGGTTAGAAATTCTATAATCCTGAGATTCAGAGGAAAACAATAAAGATGAAATTCAAATACCAATGAAGGAAGAATCTAGGGGAAATTCTGAAGGGACCTGAGGCAGTCTATTCCACAAAAGACTTTCAAGCACCTTGCAGGGACCCAGCAATGCACCAGTAGGACAAATGCAGTGGGATAGTATTGGGGGGGTAGGGAGTGAGGGGAAAGATGAAATACCCTCTTATCCTTCTACAAACTCCCATGGACCTGTACAGGGATTTTCAAACAACAGGGAGAGTTTCTCTTGCCTGGTCCTGGCTCCCCAAAGACAGTTACTCATTCTCATGGGTGTGCTAGGCTGTGCCCACTTGGGAAGGAGACTGGCTAGTCTGCGCCAGCTCCAAAATTAATGAAAGCACAGTCTGGAACTGATGTTCCAGTTTCCAAATAAACACTGATGCATTCGAATGATACAGACCACACCCACACTAGGACCACAGCATGTTCTGGGAACTCCCAAGCACAATCTGAGGGCATCTCAGAATCTATGATACCTACCACTGGCACAAAGACCTCAGAGCATCGTGGTATAGAGCATCTTAAATGTGGGCTGGTACCCAGTTAAAAATATAGGATGTTCTCCACAAGCACAGTATCTCCACAGACCAGCAGAGGGAGCCTATACTACGTGGGTGGAGGAGCTGACCAAAAAGAGACTGCGAAAGCTGGATGACTGCACTGCTCTGGGCAGAAACTCCATCCAAGGACAGTGGCTTGTATCCTTTCTCCATTTCTATTCATTATGTACTCTGAACAAATCATGTGAGAAACTGGACTCTGATGAACAATGTGGCATCAGGAGTAAAGAAAGATTCATAAACAACGTGTGCAGATGACACAAATGTGCTTGCTGAAAGTGAAGGGGACTTAAAATACCTGCTGCATAAGATTAAAGACTTCAGTCTTCAATATGGATTGCATCTCAACATCAGGAAGACAAACATCTACACCATTGGACCAATAAGTGACATCATGATAGATGGCGAAAGTATTGAAATTGTCAATTATTTCATCTTACTTGGATCCATAATTAAGTTGGTACCAGCAGTAAGTTAAGAGATGTACTGCACTGAACCTCAATCCTCAATCAATCCATATTCAATATGGACTGAGGCTCACTATCAAAAAGACAAAGATTCTCACCACTGGGCCAATTGGCAGCATCAGGATGGATAGTGAAGAGATTGAGATTGTACACAGCTTTAGTTTGCTTGGCTCCACAGTCAACACTCTTGGCACCAGCAGCCAGGAAATTAAAAGATGTATTGCAATGGGAAAGCCTGCTGTTAGGGACCTCTCCAAAGTACTGAAGAGCAATGGTATCTCTCTGGAGACTAAGGTGCACCTAATACAGGCCATGATCTTTGCAGTCAGTTGTTATGCGTCAGAGAGTTGGACAATTACTAGTGAGGATAAAAGGAGAATTGATGCCTTTGAGCTGTGGCTCTGGAGAAGAGTATTGAATGTACCATGGACCACAAAGAAAACAAACAGGTTCACCCTAGAGAGGGTTAAACCAGGCTGCTCCTTGGAGGCAAGGATTCTGGGGCTTCGTTGGACATACTTTGGACATGTTGCAAGGAGGGACCAGTCCTTGGAGAGGGACATCAAGCTTGGAAGGGTGGAGGGACAGTGCAGGAGGGGAAGACCCTCTGTGAGGTAGATTGATTCAGTGACTGGGGTAATCGGGGTGTGTGTGTGTGTTGGAGACAGTGAGATTGGCACAGGACAGAGGAGGGTTTAGGGCTGTTGTACATAGGGTCACTATGAGTTGCAAGTGACTTGACGCCATGTAACAACAACAACCACAGTGAACAAGTCATGTCTTTTCTCCAAACTACCATGGAGCAATGAAGTCAGTTTGAACACGAAGGTGCACGTGATTCTGGTCATAGCCTTTCCATCATTTGCTATCCATCAGAGAGCTGGACAATGAATAAGGATGACAAAAGAAGAAGTTTTGCTTTTAAGTTGAAGTGCTGAAGAAGAGAACTGATTATCTCATGGACTGCCAAAAGAACAATATGTCTTAGAAGTGCAGCCAGAATGCTACTTGGAGGCAAGGACGGCAAAACTTTGTCTCACATATTTGAGTAGATTGTAAAGAGAGGCTATTCCTTGGAGAAGGATATCACGCTTGGAAAGGTGAAGGGTCAGTTGAAGAGAGTATGACTGATAGAGTGGCTGCAGCAATGAGCTCAAGTGTGTCAGAGATGATGAAGATGGCACAGTATTGGACAGGGTTCAGATCATTTGTTCGTAAGGTTATTATGAGTCATATTTGACTAGACAACAACAAACAACTAACAAGCCTACAGAGCTAAATCCACACACTATCTTTGTGTCCATCTAGTATCCATCACCACCATTAGAACAAGCAGAATCTCCATGCTAATTAGGCATGTCATCCTCCAACTTCTGTCAGACCAGCAGAAGCACTACCCCAGACCAGACATCTAAACTCCACTCACCACAGCACGAACAAGAACATCAGTCAGACACCCTCCTCCATAGTTTTCTTTTTTAGTTCCTAGCCTGCATTTTTTTTCTCCACTCCTCTTCCTTTATTCTACCTTCCTCCCATTTACTTCTATTTCTCCCTTTATTTTCCAGCTTTCCTTCCTGTTCTACTCCTCTTAGTTTCTGTGTTACTTTTCCTGGCCATTCTTCCTTCTTTTCTGTTGTTTGTTGTTTAGGGGTTTGGGTTTTTCCCCCCTTCTCTTCCTTTCCCTTCTTCCAGTTAATTTCATAATTCCATCCCCCTGTTTTATTTTTCTTTTCTCTTTTTCTTTCTTCTTGTCTTTTTTTTCCTAGTCCAGACAGCAAGAGTATACACACAGCCCAACCATGCACAGATCTCCTGCAGCTCCATACTTCTGATGAGAGTAAAGACCAGCTCCAGCTCCACCTGACTGCCGTTAGATTAAGGCAACCATCACCAGCTCACCTTAAACTCAAATGCTGAACACAAACAAGTAACAAGAAAACACATGAGCATTCCCATTTTTCTTCCACACCCATCAGAAGGCAGAAGGTGAAAAATTAAACACACAATAACATCACACTGTCCCAGAGGCAACAGATAAGTTCAAACCCAAAAGAAACTCTGAAAAAGATACCATCTAATAGTGATCAAATACACAACCAGTAAGCCTTTCAGAGTTAGAAATGCTGTTGGAACATTCTACTAAAGAATGTAGAAGAATATAAATCAAGGGTTTTCACAAGATTAACGAAAAGTATAAGAAGAAATTGGAGGAAACAATAGACAAAAGCAATGAAAACAGATAATAAGTAAAATTTTAAAAATTGATATGAGCTAGATAAAAATAAATGAAAAATTAGAAGAACCTCCTAAAGAAAAACAAGCTCCACATCATGCAGAGAACTGAAAATGAGAATATTAAGATCAAAATTTTAGAAATTTATAACATACTAGAAGGACTAAAGAGCAGTAAAGAAATGAAACATAGAACCGGTGAGATAGAAAATAAAGCCCTCCATACTAATCTGTTAGGGAGCTCTGGTGGCCTAATGGTAAGAAATTGGGCTGCAATCCTGAAGGCATGTGGTTTGAATCCATCAGTTGCTCCATGGAAGAAAGATCGGAAATCTCCTCCCATGTAATTTATTCCTTCTGAAAACTTGCTGGAGGGTCAGCTATGGGTTGGTTCTTTCTCAACGGTACACAAAAAAAGAATATAGTAATCTGCTAGGGAAGGAAAAAATTAGAAAAAAAATAATGGAATGAAAATGAAGAAAGCATAAGAATTATGTGAAGCACTATCAAGAGCAATAATTTACTCATATTAGGAATTCTAGGAAAAGAAGAGACAATACAAACAAAAGGCCACCATTAAAAACAGCAGAATAGCTACTGAACACCAATTTTTACAAATACTATGAAAAATGAGATTCAAAAGGTCAAGTGAACCACACTTACAAGATAGAAAAACACCAAGACATCAAAATGAAATTTTCCCAAACCAAAGACAAAGAATACTAAAAAACCATTTGATAACTAGTCAGTGTCACCTAAAAGGAGAATAAGGAAGACTACTCTCTAATTTCACAGCAGAAATCACACAGGCAAGAAGATAATAGGATGGCGCAGGCAAAACTCTGAAAGAAAATAACTGTCAACCAAGAATACTGCACCTGGCAAAACTGTTCATCAAATATGATGGTAAAATTAAGACATTCTCAGAAAAGCAGAATGGATAAAAAAACAAAGCCCCTCTACATGCTGTTTACAAGAGATACACCTGAGGCATGAGGATAAAAATAGACTAAAATTCAGAATGCGAGGGGGGGAAATACACAGCAAAATGTGTAGGGGTGGAAGCAGAAATGGCAACATTAGACTCAGATGAAATAGAATACAAGGCAAAAACCAGCCTAAGGGGAAAGGAAAGCTATTATACAATGATTAAAGATCAACAGAACAAAATTCTAATACCTATGCACCGAATAATACAGTGGCAAAACCTATTAACCAAACTGTAACAGATTTAAGAAGGAAATAGACAACAACACAATAATAGAGACTTCAATACGCCATTCTCAATGAAGTACAAATAGATTAGGAAGAATGACACAGAACTAAAATATACAATTAATCAACATAACAGACATATAGCGAACAATGTCCCCAACAGGAACCTAGTACATACATTACTCTTCAATGCATATGGAACTCTCCAGAATATATGTTAGGTCACAAAGCAAGCCTTGATAAATTAAAAAAAATATTAAATCCAACACTCGGATACCAAAAGCATCTTCTGAGACTAAAATGTTATAAAATTAGAAATCAACACGGGAATATCAAGGAGGGGGAAAAAAATCTCGTGTCCTTGGAAACTAAATAATACCCTACTTGAACCCTACTGGGTAAGAAAAGAAAGTTAAAATGAAACACAAAAGTTTCTTGAAACAAGTGAGAATGAATATATCAAAACTTTTGTGACACAACAAAAGCAGAACTCTAAAGTCAGTTTATAGCAATAAACAGATCAAATCAGAGGAAAAGTATCAAAATGAAAACCTTAATCAAATAAGAGCAACAATGAGAAAGAAAATAAACAACAACAAAAAACTATAAGAAGCTTCATAATGGCTTGACTACAGGAAATAATAAATATTAGGGCAGAAGAAATAGAAAATAGATAAACAACAGAAAGCAAATAAACCATGTGTTGGCTTTATGACTGGATTAATAAAATAGAAAAACAACTTAAAAACCAAATAAAAGGAAATGAAGACATAAATAAAAGGATACTGTGAAAAACTATAACAAACTAGAAAATTTAGAGAAAAAGGGCAAATTTTTAGAAACCCACCACTTAACTAAACTAAAACTGAAGCAGAACACATGAACAGAACCATTTCAAAAGAAGAAATAGAAAAGGTAAAAAAAAGATTCCCAAAGGAAAGAGACCTCTGTTCACACATCTTTACCAGTGAATGCTATCAAACATTGACAAGAATGTCACCAGTCCTACATAAATTATCTCAGGGCATAGAAAAAGACAGAACACTCCCAGATTCATTCTATGAAGCAAGCATAACTCTGATACCAAAGCCAGGTAAAAATATTACTAAAAAAGAAAATTATAGACCATCATATCTCTTATAAATATGTTGTCATTGTTGTTAAGTACCCTTCAGTCCAGGATGACTCAGATCAACCCAATGGACAATGGGCCTGAACCTTATCCTTCCTGTCCTTTGCCATGTTCATCATCTCTAGCATACCTGAACTCAATACTACAATCACTGTGTCAATACATTTTGTTCAAGGTCTCCCTCTCTTTCACTGACTTTTCCAAGCATGCTATCCTTTTCCAAGGAATTGCCCTTCCTAACAATATGCCCAAAGTATGTGAGAGGCAGATTTGTTTCTTCTTTTGGCAGTCCATGGGATATTCAGTACTCTTCCCCCAACACCACAGCTCAAAGGCATTCTTTGTCTGTCATCCTTATTCACTGGCCAAGTCTCGGGTACACCTTAGTATTTAAACTGATGTCACTGCTCCTTAGCAGTTTGAAGAGTTCCCTGACAGCAAACTTCGCAAATGCAATACATCTTTTGAACAAGAGATCTGAACCCTGGCCCGTCATCCTCATCTCTGACATACTTGAGCCCAGTATTGTAGTCATTGTGTCAATCCATCTTGTTGAGCGTCTTTCTTCTCTTTTGCTGCCCTCATCTTTCCACATGTGATGACCCTTTCCAAGGAAAAGACCCTCCTAATGACATGCCCAAAGTAGGTGAGACTATGCTTTGCCAACCTTGCCTCCAAGGAGCACTGTGGCTGCATCTTCTCTAAGACATTTCTATTCATTCTTCTGGAAGTCTATGTACTTCAATTCCCTTCTCCAACATCACAACTCAAAGGCATTGATTCTTCTTCTGTCATACTCATTACTATACACAGTTATAAAAACAAGTATCTGCTCTGTTAAAACTTGGTTTATTTCTTAATCCTGAGTAAATCGTATATACTACAATCTTCAAATCTTTCTCCTAGCTACATATTCTCTTCAAACAATTAAAGTGGTATTCCCAAATGTTCAATCTAGGAAGAATCACTTGGGTGGAGTCATTGCAGTTGGTTCTGAATTATAGCTTCTATGTCCAACAGAACAAAACACTGCCCAGTCCTGTACCATCTTCACTGCTGTGCAAGAGCCCACTGTTATAGTTAGCATGTCAATTCTTATAGTTAGCATGCCAGTTCTTCTCTTTGTCTTTGTCTTTTGCACCGCCAGCCTTCATGCCTCATTCATCTCCATAAAGTCCAGTTACTCAGATTATTTGCTCAGAATATGAATTGATAAGCATGATGAACGGATATAACTCTGGTGCACAACTTTTCTTAAACAATGCAATCACCTTTATTCTATTAAAATGTCTGCTTTATGATCCATGCATAAGTTATACAAGAGCGCAATTAAGTGTTTCTGAATTTTTATTCTTTGCCAAGGTAACCACATTTTGTTATAATGCACATAGTTGAATGCCTTTGCATAGTAAACAAAACACAGGTGAACATCTTTCTGGTATTTTCTGCTTTCAATTACGATTCATATGCTGTCAACAATGACATTCTCTGTTCCATGCCCTCTTCTAAATTCATCTTGAATTTCCTAAAGTTTCCTGTTGATATACTGCCACTGTTTTTTAATTACCTTCAGTAAAGTTTTATCTGTGTGATATTAGTGACAATATTTGATAATTTCCACATTCTTTTAGATGATTTTTTTTCTAATGAGAACAAATATGAATCTCTTTCAGTCAGATGACAAGGTCATCCAGATTTCTTGACATAAATGAGTGTTGTCAGTACTGCATCTATTTGTTGAAACATTTCAAGTGGATTTCAGTCAATTTTTGGAGCCTTGTTTTTTCACCAGTAACTTCAATACATCTCAGAAATCTTCCTTTAGTACCATTGGTTCTTGATCACACACTAACTTCTGAAATGCCCGAGTGTTGACCAACTTTTTTTGTACTCTTTCACTACCATCTAGTTGAGTCTTAACCCAACTGCAGGTTTCCAAGGCTGTAAATTGGAAAGAGAATGCCTATTTTTCTCCCATGGAGTGATGCATAGATTTGAATGACCAGAGAAGCTCAGACTTTGAATTACAACACAACTCTTTACAGACTATGTATCTTGATTCTTTCCGGTACAGTGACTTTATATTCTCATTATCTTTTGATGCTTCTTATGGCATTCACTATTCAGTCCATGGAGTCCATCACTCTTAAAATTTGAAACTGAAATTTATTCTTCAGTTTTTTCAGCTTAAGAAAAATGTTGAGTATAATATTTCTTTTTGGGTAACTGTAAGTCTTTACAAATGTGTGTTTTGCCACTCTTTGAAATTCTCTGTTCAGCTTTCGTACTTCAACGTATCTTCCTTTCATTTTAGCTGCTCTATGTTTGAGAGTCTGACATACTTTGGACATGTTGCAAGGAGGAACCAGTCCTTGGAGAGAGACGTCATGCTTGGTAGGGTAGAGGGACAGTGCAAGAGAGGAAGACCCTCAACGAGAAGGATTGATTCAGTGACTGGGGTAATGGGGATGGGTGTGTTGGAGACAGTAAAATTGGCACAGGATACAGCAGGGTTTAAGGCTGTTGTACATAGGGTCACTATGAGTTGCAGGCGACTTGATGGCATATAACAACATGTTTGAGAGCAAGTTTCAGTCTCCTTTGATATTTATTTTAATCTTATTTTTCCTTTATTTTTAATGATCTTTTGCTTTCTTCATGTATCATGTTCTCAACATCAGCACATGACTCATAAATGTATGAGAGCTATTCTTGAAATGGTCTCTAAATTCAGGTGAATATACACAGCATTATATTTTTACCTACAACAGAATAAAAGGCATGCCTAAACACAGACAGAAAACATTCAAAAGCATAATAAACTCTCATATATCACAGAAGTGATAAAGACTTTTGTCTAAGGAATGCCTCCAAATATAAACTTGGAAAATGTGGTATTTATATACACAACTATAATTCTTAGCAAAATAACTGACTTAACCAGTAAGGTTTTTTTCCTTGATATTTCCTTACCAATTCATGAGTTCATAAAATAAATTATTTCATTAAATCACATACCTTGTTTTTTTCACAGTAATGTTACTGCTGAGTTTTTCTAGTCGACATTCTCCAGTATCATGGTTAATAAACAATACACATTCCTTCAAATAAGGTTTCTTTGAGCCTTTGAAAACAGTTACTGGTGGAGTTGAACCCTGTTTGCAAAGTTAATTAGTATTAGTTGAAATTTACCTTAGAAAATACTTCTTTAACATCTTTTGGTACTGTGCTTCTCAACATATGTTATATTTTAAGCATCCTAACTTCTTCAATGGTCTGCTGAAAAAACCAAACAGATAGGTCTTGAACAAGGTACAATCATAGTATTCCTTGGAGGCAAAGATGATACGTCTGTACATATTGATAAGAAAGGTTGTTCCTTGGAGAGGGGCATCATTCTTGGAAAGGAACAGAGCAGAACAGTGCAGGAGAGCAAGATCCTCAACCCGGTGGACTGACACTGTGACTGCAGCAACGGACTTGAATGTGTCAGAGATTGTGAGAATGGCACAGAATAGGACAGGGTTCAGATATGTTGCTCATAGGGCTGCTATGATTTACACTAGTCTCAACGGCACCTAACAACAACAACTACCTCAAATTATACCATCCTCTAAACAAAGCCTGTAACAACATCAGAACAGAGATAAAGACAGTTTCAGATCTTGAGACTGTCATGATTGAGAAACAATTTGGAAAAGATAGTAGCCTTGAGCCAGTAAAATACTGTTTCTGAATTATTAGAAAAGAATTTTAATATAGAAATGATAAGGAATGATATAGTCATTATTGTTAGGTGACATTGAGTTGAGTACAAATCATAGTGAACCCTATCCTATCTTGAATCATCTCACAATCTCTGACAGACCTGAGCCAACTGACGCAGTCACTGTGGCAAACCATCTGGTTAAGGGTCTTCCTCTGTTTTGTAGTCCATTCATCCTTCCAAGCATGATGTCCCTCTCCAAGGAATAAAAGTCTCATAGCAACATGCTCAAAGGATGTGAAATGAAGAATTAGCATTTTAGCCTCCAAGGAGCACTCTTGCTGCATCTTTTCCATGACATATCTGTTTGTTCTTTCGTGGTTCATGGGATATTCAGCATTCTTCCCCAACATCTCACCTCAAAGGGCATCAATTCTTCTCTCATTTTTAAAGAAACTCTCAATCATTCTCAAGTATTCCTCTTCTTATTGTTTAAAAAAATCTAGTTCTTTCTTAAAGTGGTGCCTTGTGTGGGTAGATTAAGGAAAAGAAATGCACCAAAAACAACTATTACACTGAACTCACTGATTAATTTCAGTATCAAATAATAAAATTATATTTTAGTAGTTTCATTAAGTGATATGAAATAAAGTACACACCACCACCCATGAAGCATTGTTTTCTTTAAAAACCAAACAGAAAGACTCTAACTTTCACCAAGCCTTTAGTTATGCAATTATTCCTTTATATTAAAGGTAGGGAATAAAGGAACAAGCTGATTAATATGAAAATGAATTACAAATCTAGATTATGAGTATGCCCTCTATGAAAAATTACTTATTTCTTCCAACAAACCAATGGCATCAAAGATATTTTTAGAAATTGTTGTTTTACCAAAGATCCTTCCCATTTCAGAGAAACGGGAAGGATCTTTTGCGAAAAATAATGTATTTAAACTTTGTTAGTAAATACCATTTCACTAAAAGAGTAGTAAATTCATTTTACGTGTATGTTTATTTGTTTTTCCAGCAAAATCTTAAGTGTTAAAGAAAAAAATTGTTGTTTTAATAAAATTTTCTTTTTTTCTTTTTTTTATTTACTTAATATTTTTTTATTGGGAAAAACATATTGGGGGGTCAAAGGAGGTGAGGGTTGGGGGCAGAAGGGTGAGGATGGGCCAGGATGCAGTTGCAGAGCTGCACAGTTTGGTCGGTGGGGGGAGCAGGTGAAGGAAATGATGAGGGCCCAGTGGGGACCAGATGCTACAGAGGAATGACAAGCATTTTCCAATAGTAATTA